AATGGAGCAAACTAATCCTATTGGAAGAATATAATGATGATCTTCATCCAAGCCATCGATCTAGCGGTTTAGGATGCTATCATTGATGGTTCTCCCACCCCTCCAAGAAATCGGTCGGAATGGACAAATAAAGATAAGAAGCTTGCCCAATTTAATTCCAAAGCCATGAACATCCTCATTTGTACTCTTGGCCTGGACGAATATAGTAGAGTATCTTCATACTCTAACTCTAAGGAGATTTAGGACAAGTTGGAGGTGACTCATGAAGGAACAAACCAAGTGAAAAAGTCAAAGATTGGTATTCTCACTTTCAACTACTAGAACTTCAAGATGAAACCTGATGAAGACGTAAAGATTATGTCTGATCTGTTCACTTTAATATCAACGAGCTCAAAGGGTTTGGGAAGGTTTATCTTAATAAAGTAGTAAGAAAGATGCCCCCTTCCTTGCCAATGTCTTGGAAGCAAAGGCTATTACCATCAAGGAAGCCAAGGATTTGGAGTTCCTCACTTTTAATGAGCTTATTGGTTCTCTAGTCACTCATGAGATGAGACTCCAAAGGAAATAAGAAGAAGAAAAAGAAGAAGAGAATAACAAGAAGAATAAGGTATGAATCACCTTCAAGTCCACCAATGAGAATAGTAAAGACTCAAGTGAAGAAGTGGATGAAGATGAAGAGATTGTCAAGCTCTTCAAAAGATTTACAAGATTTATATCTTCCAAACGAAAATAATTGAATGATGAATCGATCAATAAGAAGGGCTCCCCGTGCTTTGAATGCCAAAGAATGAAACATGTCAAGTATGATTATCCCCTCATATGGGAGAAGAGATCATTCAAGAAAAAGACATTTGTAACTGCTTGGAGTGATAAAGATAACTCCAATGATGAAGATGAAGTAACCAACCTATGTCTCACGGTTATCGAAGCATATTCAATGGTAACTTCTAACTCTTGTAATTTAAATTCTTATTCATTTTAAGAGTTACAAGATGCCTATGATGAATTCTATTTGGAATTTGATATCATGAATTTCAAATACAAGAAATTGATTTCTAAATTTAAAAATGGAAATAATTTGGTTTTGAAAGAAAAATTGGATTTTGGAAAAAATAAATAAATTTTTGAAAAATGATTTTGAGCTTTCAAAAATCAAAATTGAAGTTTTAGAAAAAGAACATTTTAATTGAAAAGTTAAGCTTGAATGTTTAAAAAAAGAAAAATAAATCATTTCTGAAAACAATTTATCTATTTTAAAAATGAAAAATGCTCTCATTTTCATGGTTAAAATGTACATACTTGTCCTATAAAGAAAATAAAACATTTTAAAATTAGACAAGTATGGGTTCCCTTGTGAACTAGAGACCTTGGTACTAACCCTGAAGGATCCAAAGCAATTTGGGTACCAAAATCCAAATGAATGTCTCTTATAGGTGTGTGTTGGAGCAATGTTGATAAATGTAAGGAATCACAAATGCTCCAGTCATACAAGAAAAAGGATGAGTAACTTCTAAACTTAAAGCTTTTTAATTTTGTATATTGGTTGCCTATTGAGTTTTATGGATGCATGAGTATTTAGCATGACTGTTTACATGTTGGTTGTTTTTCTCATGTATGTTGAAAAATATGTTATTATGAACATCTTTTTAAAGTTAAATTTTTTATTGTTTTAGTTCATCATAATGATTTTTTTGTCAAGTTATGTTTTTAAATGATTTTTTTTTAATTTTGACATTAATTTGAATGTTAATTCATGTGTTTTCAATTAAATGACATCTCTCTAACAATTGATATCAACTTTTTGAATGCATAATATTTTGTAATGTTTTATGCATGTTAGTTTTAATGACATATCTCTAGTTATTACATAAAGTATGATAGAATTGGTTTATTGAATTTTATGTGTTACTAATATGTTTGTCCATCTTTGTTGAAATTCAATATTCTTTAAGTTTTAAGTTTTTGTGTCAAAACTTTTTCATGAAATGCTTTTGTTGAGCAAGAGCTTTAAATTTTTCAAATGATTTTATGTTGAAGTTTCTGCTTATTCTCCATTGTTATTTTGAACCTAAAATTTTGAATTATTTTTTATATAACAAAAAGGGGACAAAAATAGGTTTGAAAAATTTAATTTCAAATAAGAGAAAGGGGGAGCTTAAATATTTTCCAAAATATTTTTATTATTCTTAAAAAAAATTATTAAGGGGGGAGTTTTGCCAAAAGCCATTTTTTAAATGTTTTATTATATCAAAAAGAGGACATTGTTGAATCTATTTTAATATAACAATTTAAGGTAAAATATTTTTAGACTTAATTGAATTTATTTACAATTTTCAAAAATAATTCAAAGTCCATAAAACTTGAATTTGAACACAAAACTGTTTTCTGGATAAGTAGTACCGATATTGTTATCACATTATACTACATGAATAGTATCGATACTGTTTTTGCAGTACTAATGCCAAAGGTAAGAGAGCTATTGACACTCCCTTGGCAATATCGATACTACTTAATATTTTCTAAAGTGTTCAAATTTCAGTAAGAAAAATTGTTATCGATACCCGAAGAGTACCGATAGTACTTTACGTAGTGGTATTGATACCACGAAACCTAGTATCGATAGTTGTAATCCAAATTATCTTTAATGGTTAGTTTATTTAAATATTACAAAGACAATATCAATACTCATAGCCTAAGTATCGATTCCCTGTTTTGGACAATTTTGTTTTGCAAAAAATTAATCACCAATGGCTCCAAAACATCCCAACGATTATAAACGACTATAAACCCATTCTAACGTATAAAAACAATTCTAGGACACTTTAAGAAGGTTACAACATCTATTCAAGCAATCAAGATCAAGAGAAAAGCTCTTTCACTCTTTATTGTTTCTTTATTCTTGTACATAGTGTGTTTTTGTGAGCTTAATTTGCAACTTTTGTGAGCTTTTTCTTGTTTACAATCTTTATTCTTTGCAAAAGGTGAGTGGTTCTAGTTTAACCATTGAAAATTGTAAAAGTTACTCTTGGGCCTAAAAAAGAAAGAACAAATTAGTGAATTTGTTGGAAAATCCTTAGTGTGGAGTTAAGATATTGGATGGAGACTTGATTTAGAAGTTAAACCACTATAAATCATTGTACCATATCTTTTCTTATCATTTCTCATCAATTCCCACTTTTATAAAAAGTTAATTCACCCACTTTTGGCTATTTTTTTGATTATCCATAGAGCCTCAAAAGTCTCAATAGGATGTGTATGCGCTATCAATATGTTAAGAAATTTCTGAACATATACTACCTTATAATCAATTCAGACTATTCAAAAAACATACTTCGATTTATGAATGAAGACAAACTCAAGTAGTTTAAGTATTGTATTAAGAAACATATATATGTTGCAGTTACTTTGCATTTTGCGGTTACAAGTATTTTGCGTCAAGGGTAGCGGTGGTGGTTTTTTCCAACTATTTTTGTCATTTTTTTTCCAGTTGATTGTTGTTTGATTTTGTTAATTTCCAGTTATATTTTAACATATTTATAATAATGTTTTCTCTTGGCCTTTTCTAGAGTATTATGACTACGAATGTTTTTAGGTTTTCAATGCAGGTTTCTTCAATTGATCTGTGGTTCTTCAAGATTTTTTGGTTGATTGCTCTCCCGATGCTTGATTTCTTCATTCGTTTATATATGACATTCTGTTAAGTGAGGATTGATTTTTTATTTGTTTGCTTTGGATAATTCTATATCTGGTGCTCTTGGACGTCAGAGTGATCTGTCTCTATATGTCGTTGCTTAAAACTATTCATATTCTTGCTCATCATGCTATCATTAGCCGCTCACTATTATATTTTACTTATGATAATAATGAATGTGTTTATCATGTATGTATCTTGCAAGACATTACTGATTATATTTTATTTGACTAATAAATATATCATAATCCTACTTAAAAAAATATATAAATACCGAAAAAAATATAGTAGACTATACTAAACATATTATGGAGAAAAATAAACTGTTATCTCAAGTTAATATATGTAACTTTCATTTAAAGTATATCCCATTAATTTTTTTCTCTTTCCTATCAAATGAAGCCTACAACTTGTAAATGTCTCATCCATATATATTGGTATCAGATAATGCTCTGACCACTTTGATGAAAAGTTAGAAAGACGAGGAATATTATTCATAAGATGGATCAAAATATGGAATTGAAGCACCTAGTCATCATATTCACATGCCCTACAATATTAAATATGTATGAACAAGTCAAAAAAGAAGGCCGTGGAATTTTCATTTTATGATGACCTTTGAGCTTGATCTTTGAGTACGTTAGAAAAAACTTCAGTACCAAATATCGTCAAAAGTGTTCATGTCAAACGATAATGGTACAGGATCTAGCTTTTTGCTTTCGGCTTAGTTGGATCTTCAATTGATGGTCCTCAAATTTTATACTTTAATCAAGGCTTACGAAGATAATAATTAAAGTTTTGAAAACGATGGAATTTTATAGGCGCATCGAGTTAAAAAAAATGTATGCCTTTTCAAGGAGTATATTGCTGGCTCATATCACTGAGCTTGCAAAAAATCTGATGGCAACTAAACTAAATTAACCTCAAATGATTGGTTTAAGAAGTAGCTTCAAAATCTAAACATCATGAACCTTTAATCTCCATTTGTCGTCACTGATTACCATCACTTAATTTTTCTTTGGGCTTTTGCTCGTCACCTTGAGCCATATTTAAGGTGAACGCAATTGAAACGGTCCCTTATTAGGGACTATCACAGTATGGATCAATTTGTTAACTGAAAATAACACAATCAAGCAAAAGAAATACCAGTTGTTTTTTTACTTGCTAAATATTTGTTACTTGTGAAGCAACAAGATTTAAATTTCATATTTTGTAAACAAAATTTCAGCTCAAGTTTACGGTTAACATTCCGATGTAAGATTGAACGCAAACATGAAACCAGAAGCAAATTAAATTACAACTTGAGCTCTTGAGAAGATTGAACTTCCTAACAGCTTACGTTATTCAGCCGAAAGGATTATTAATTCTTACATATTTGTCAAATAAAATGGGGGAAAAAACTATAAAGAAAGTAACTGAGGTGGACATGTTCTTGCAAACAATGGACAAGAAATGAATGTTCAGCAACAAATATGAAAACCCAAATCGTTCAACTGAAAATAATTGAAAAAAAGTTTTCTGTGGATGTTGTTGATCTCTGCTGAGAAATTCGACCTGTGTAATAGGGGCAGAAAAGCACTCAAGACAGCTTACAAAGGTTTTCGAATCCCATATACTCTTTGTTCACCAGCTTTTTGACCATATCAGCGATGCCAACTCCACCTGTAACATTCAGGAAATTGTGTCCAGCTTCTTACCATTTTGACAAGTTCGAGTTTAAGTGACTTGCTTTCCAAGTTAACTTAAATGTAAAATGTATAGGAAGCACGGAAGCGCATTGTTACCTAAACTGATTGCGCTAACAAAGATCGTTAAAGCTAGTATGAAGATGATGATCGACGCTCTTCCGATGACAGCAATAATCCTTCTGACTACATGCTGGCCAGCGAAGGCAGCAATTGTTGCTACCAGAACAAAATAAGCAGCTGCATAGGAAATAACAATGTAACTATAAGGCTGATGGAGGTAGTGATCAAAGTTTATATGTTTATATTATGGCTACAAATTTATTATAATCGTAAACGTTTAATGTCATTGCGAGTTAGTACCATATGGGACCGGGAAACGATTGAGAAGATAATATTGTACAACTGACATCGAGGATGAAAACACCATAGAAAACGTTGATGTTGCACTAGCTACCTGCAGAAGCATATCAGTTTGGTCAAACTCGGGAATTTGTGCTGGCATGGGATCCTCACAGAAAGAAGATTACAGTCATTGCTTCTTCGGTTTTGGTGTATATCCATTCCGCTACATTGCATATGACTTTAGATTAAATAATTTTAGTTAAAGCATACCTGAGGGGGAATCCCGAGTTCGAGGAATAGAGGACCCAAGATGAAGCCTCCTCCTAGTCCTAACAAGCCACCAACCATACCAGCTACTATACCACAAGAACAATAAAGAAGAATCTGATATATCTTCCAATTTGTAACTTCCTTTCCTTTGGATGCAATCACTCTAGTCCCTTTGCATAAGCATATGGCTTCAAATAGTGTCACAGAAGCAGCAATGGGTATCTATAGAGAAAAGGAACACAACAATTTTTTTGTATCAATTCTGTTCTATCTGTCTAGATTCTAAGAGAGAATTTTTATGTAGAACTTCTAGTTTCTACCTGCAAGGAGGTCACAATCCAGTACATGACTGAGCAAGTTGAAAGATATTCCTGCAAAAACAAACGTTTCGATGAGATTACGCTAACACATGAATAATGTTAAAGACTTTTCATTCTGCAAAGTTCATTGATGAAATTGGACTTTGAAAAGATCATGATCATCGGAAACCCCGGAATGAACAGGTGAAGACTTATTTGTTCATCTGACATTATTAGCAATGTTATCATACCTTAATAATCTGGACAATAAGAAAACCTATCCATACATACACGAGCAGTGACAACTCTTTCCAGTTTATGTTTTGCAGCAGGGGAACCTGAATAGAATGATCCGCAAGGCCACAAAAATAGCCAATTATAACAAAGATAAGACTAACTTTATGAAGAAAACTGAGATGTTCTTCAACTCACTTCATCTTCTTGAAAGTTTCTTGGGTCACTAGGTAATGGTTTATAATCTTGAGCAGCTCCATCTGCAATTCTCAAGTTTAACACAATCTATTTGCAATATTTCGATTAACACAACATTTGTCTTATCAACTCTCACTTTAATCCTAGTCTATTTCTTATTTTGATTGTTCAACTGTCATACAAACTAGTTTTCTTTCCTTTTATCTTTTCTAATAGAATCTTAAATTTGTTTCATGAGCAATCATTTCCCTTTAATGGGAATATCTCATTTGAAATTATGTAGGCACTCACCAGCTGGTATGGACTCCTCTGCTTCCTGGAAATAGAAATCTCGAAATCCCCATTAATAATCTTATACCAAAGGGAAGAATTCCATGGAAAACATAATAAAAAGTGGAAAATTCTACCTTTCTCAACATTGTCTCTTTCTTCCATGTATCTATACCTTTGAATAAGGCTTTCGTTGATGTACCTGCCATTGATAAGTTTAAGCATCTACATCAGAGAAAACTATACATTGTCATCACAATGAAAAGAGATAATATCTTCATTGCTGGATATCCATGTTCCTTGTCTTGATGGACTATTGCATACACTGTTTACATTAAAACTCTGATGGATAACCGAACTCTTTATGATTTCACTTGTTCAGAAATCGTGTTCATGCAATATCATTGGACAGTCATTATTGTGATTTGAATTTGTAGGACATAAAATACAAGAATCAAAATGAGTTAAGAATTCCCAGAATTATGTAATTCTTATTACCAATGAAGAGAATGATAAGCAGAACTGTGACCATCCAGTCAGCAAACATGACATTTAGGACAACTCCAATGCTGATTCCAAGCATAAGCATGGGCTGAAATAACAATGCCAAGTCATAGTCTATGAGAGGCATTTCAAGTGTTGGGTGCCTAAGTCTCAGGTTATAATATACTGTTGATCCAGCTGCACCCATGATCATACCTGCAGCAGGAGAAAAGATCCTTGTTATCCGTACATATGATTACTACAGACTACATATTATAATATTCAGGCGATCAGAGTCGGTTTAGCCTAAAAGCATCCAGCTTACCGATGTTAATTATGTTCTTGTTATTGCCATGCTTATTGGAGACATTACTAATAAGCAAGTGTATAGTTGTATGTTACTGTAATAAAAAAGAATTATAATTTGAGTTGAAACTCACACTTGGAAATGGCAGTAGAAGACTTGGGGTCAAAACCTATTATGAGACTGAGCATTGGAACAAAAATCCCACCACCACCAACGCCTCCGACGCTACCCAATGCAGCACCTAGGAATCCAACAATTGTTCCTAAAACAATTTTCCAACCAAACTTCATCCCCTGCTCAAAAGTAAACAATGACATGAAACAGATTGCTAAAAAGTTGCAATAATCATCAGCTGATGCAAGAACAATGCATTCATTGCAAGAAGTTTCGAAAAGTTAAACGGCGAACTCACCGGCCAGACAGGTTCATAGGAAGACTTCCCATCTTGCCAGAGGAAGTTGGCAACTCTAACTAGAAGTCCCTGAGTTGTCTCGTTTTCTTTGAAGTTATCTTGGTGCATTTTGTGTTTCAATAACCTCTCTGCAATTCCCACATCGCTGATAACAAGAACCAGAAAGGCTATCCAAGCTATGACTGCCAAGCCTCTCCCGTTCACCTGAATTCGAGCCATTTTTGGCTTATACCCTGAATTGTTAGCAAAGGAGAGACAATGGATCAGCAAACCAAAAGAAAAACTTTTCTATGCTTCGACTTTAATCAATTCTCTTCTTATTTCCTCTCTGCTATCAATTCCGTAGCATTCAAATATGAAAGAAAATATGAAGAAATAGTGAGTTCTCTCCTATGGTGTCAACATTTTTAAATCCCTTTATTGTACGCTCGACCGCGTCGTCCAATGACAGTTTTTTTTTTATCTTCTTCCAGTAAAAAGAACAGGTGCTGATAGGGGTGTTAAATCTGTTGATTCAGTTAACTAATCGAATTGAATTACTCAAAATTTATTAATTAAAAACTTTTCTCTTTAACCGAATTAAACCAAATTTTTTAACTAAACCAAATAGAATTTAATTAATTCGATCAGTTTTCAAATTAACCGAAACTTATAAATAATATATAAATAATTTATTAATTCGGTTAAACTGAAGTTTGAACAAACTAAGACTAATTATATAAATGATATATATAATATATTAAATATCTAATATTTTTAGTTAATTATCTAATTTCGAGCCGAATTAACCGATAACCGAAGTTTGAAAAAAATATTAAACTTTTAACAAACCGAACCTAAAACTAATCGACCGATTCATAAAAAAAACTTTAATTTGAAATGTTAATTCAGTTAAAACCGAAATTTAAACACCTCTAAGTGTTGAGTTAGGGTATTTATTATAATATCGGTAGAAAAACACACGTATTACTCAACATATTTCAAATTATGTGAATGTGTGTTTTTCTATAAATATTAACATCTTATCTCAACATATAATTTTCAACACCACCGTAATTGAGTTAATCTTTTAAAATAATAAATTTATTTTTCAAGTCAATAAAAATTCTGGGTTAGAATCAACTGATTGTCCCCTCCTGAATCTGTACCACTCACTGACATTGTAAAGATTTTTCGTGACCATTTCACCTTAGAAGTTTCCAACTTTGATCGTCGAGTTAGTTACTTGTTGATTCCCTTACAAGACACAACCCTGTTAAAACTAGATTTTCAGAGAAAAGAACAGCATCCCAATTTTTCATGCCTGTCTTGATCTTTCGAGAGAGCTAATGAAATGATTTACTATTGAACAAATTACATGATGGGGTTTCAGATTATCTCATTCCCTGTTATTCTGCTGCCAAATTTTACCTTATCTAACGCTGATAAAACATGATCTTTTTGCATTAGCAAATGAGAGATTCCTAGCGCAAACCAACTTAATTTAACGGTTAAAAGATTTATTGTTGTTCCTAAAGATCATAGATTCGAACATCAATGACTATAGCAGGTAGGAGCGAATGTATGTGACTCTTTAAGGAGATCCACTACACACCATTATTTTGAGAAAAATGTTAAATTTACTTTAATTTGTTAATGAAAATAAAAAAATAAGAAAATTTGCATACCTAAAAATTTTAAAACTGAGCATTAAAATTTTGGACCCCATATTTTATTTCTAAGTCTACCTCTCGTAGCAGGGTGATTGAATGTTCATTGTTAAATGGTTGAAAGTATCTAATACATATATTACTTTATAATCATATTAGCTTAATTAAAAAAAAAAACCTGAGAGAGCCGTAGACTTCAAATTTTAATCTTTTTATTTTTTAATTATCATAACTTGTTTTAGTAATTTTCTAGGTTGTTGTAACAGTAGATTATATGGCCTAATCCAAAACAGATAGTTTCCCTACACATTTTACGCGGCAACGGAAGCTTCATGCCTGCTTCCAAACCTATTATGATCAAATTCTATGGAAAGTCCCTGAATTATGTGCTTTCTGATGATTTAGTCCTACCTATAATTTAAAATTTTTAATGAAAAGTGAGATTTAGAAGCTTTGAAGTAATACCAGTACATCACACGGGAATAACAAGGGTCAATAAAATGCTTTTCGAAGATATTTTAAATGGTGTCGGGAATTATTTCATTAACCCTGAGAATTTCAGCCGAGTCTTGTAATTCGTTCAAATCATTTATCGTTATGTTCATTTTTTATTTAATAAACTTAAAAATTAACATATCAACTTGTTTTATAGAAAGAACCAATTATACGAATTAAAGAGAGAAATCTTGAGCTAGCCGAAACACTTGATATAAATCGTTGCTAATTCAATCGAATAAATTAATTTTTTTAACACGTGATGACTTGAAATATTTACTCACATTTTTTTGGTTACCCTCCACTTTTAAGGTTTTACCTTAACTAATCTGGACCGATATGAATCGCACACCTAATTTTGATGGGTGTGTCTTCCGGCGAGATTTTTTGCATACACAAGGACTCGAACTTGAGACATTGCTTAACCGATATCAAATTACTTACTACTTAAACCAACCCCATTATTTATGTAATCAAATTTTTGTATAGTATTTTTTATACATTTAAAAGATAAAAAAAAATATAATATTACCTAATTGTAAAAAGATAATTCATATCAAATTATTTGATGGAGCTAACGAAAAAAGACAGTTAGCTTTGGAACTAAAAATATACATTTGGAGGAGTAAAATTAGAGTGCTATACGGGCTAAATCCACAATGATTTTAATTAATAGTTAAAATGAAGGATCAAACCATGTTCGTTCATCCCAAATGTTATATTTTTTAATTTCTTTCGCTTATGCATAAACTGTGTTGCAAACAATCATTTTCAGAAACATACGCAAGCCAAGTGGTTCCTAATTACCCCCTTTATAATCATATATATAATATTGCCCCTGAGATCTCCTTTTATTTGCTTATGTAAGTTAACTGTGGCAATCAAGTAATGAAAACTAAAACAGAAGATCAGAAAAAACAAATGACAAAGGAAACTTCCCAGAAGCATTATTTTAAGTTTTCAAACATTTTAGTACGAACCAACTACATTACTAAAAGCAATAGCTTCTTCAAAGTGATACAATTGGGAAAATTTCTAAAATGAAACTTCATAGATTTTTTTCATTAAATGAAACTTCATAGCTACTTCAATCCATATTTGTTGCTTCTTATTAACTGTTACACCAACAGAACATTTCCTTTTTTAGTTATGGTAAATTACCTAGATAGTCCCCTAACTATATGTCCCTTTTGTTGCATCTCTTGATTATGAAAAAAATATAAAATGACCATCCAAGTTAAAAAAAATACAAGTTAGTCCATAATAACAAGTTCAATATTTTAACATTTACGTGTCAAATCGGCCCTTCATTGGAGAAAAGCCAACTAATTATGACAATGGGATTTTTTAAAAGATTTTTGTGAAAAGAAGGGAGTCACCACTAGTTCTTTTTAAGGTGAGATTAGAACACCTAAAATCAGGTAATTTTAATAAAACATTTTAACATTTACGTGTCAAATCGGCCCTTCATTGGAGAAAAGCCAACTAATTATGACAATGGGATTTTTTAAAAGATTTTTGTGAAAAGAAGGGAGTCACCACTAGTTCTTTTTAAGGTGAGATTAGAACACCTAAAATCAGGTAATTTTAATAAAACATTTTATTTTATAAAAAATACCAAGTTTTGGTATGTGAAATTAGAAATCAGGTTTGAGAGTCAGTTACTTGTGGGGAATGATTAACACCCACACATCACAAAAAATTATTACCTAGTCGATTATCCTATATTTTATGACTTGACCTAATGTGATAGTGTGTTTGGTTATGACTTACGCCATAATTTTAATGTGATAGTGTGTTTGGTTATTACTTACGTGAAGGTGTTCGATAAAATGTATGAGAGACACAAGTTATATCCTAAATATAAGTTCTTGTAAGAATGAACTAAGTATAAGACTTGACTTGGTGGTTAGGCTTTGGGTTTCCCCCCTAATAGCCTAGGTTTGAGTCTACTAGTTACACATTTTGCTTTCTTAAATTTAAATCAATATGATGATACACATGTCATCGATCATATCAATAGATGAAGATTATTAAATAGAAATATATAAAATTAATTTAAAAAATATTTTTTCTTGTTGTGCCATTGTCATGTCAATATCTTTGTATATGTAGCACTACCACATCATCATGCAGTGTCATGTAAGAATGACATGTTATCGTAATATGTTGATCTTAAGTTGACTAACGATTTTCATCCAATTAGAGAGTATTTTACCCCAAAATGAAACATTAAGGGTTAAAATATTCCAAAAAACAGAATATGAATAAAAGTGACCACTTGTGTAAACGTTGGGTTTTTCTTAAACTTAATTATTATATCATTATTTCATTGACTCATGCATTCTCTTATCATTACAGGGTTGGTTTTTTTTAAACCATTCTTATTGAGTCACATAAAAATATAAAGAATAAAAAATTTCTCTTTTAAGGATTCTCAACAAGATAGATTCTTTAGGGCATTCAGTCTTTTGTAAGGATGGGCATGAGGCTCGAACCCGACGGGTTCCGATCCAACCCGAACCGATCGGGTTGAGTTTTTTTTTTAAAAAAAATTGGGGTCGGGTTTTTTAAACGTGATGTTCGAGTCGGGTTGGGTTTGAGTTTAGGGTGAAAAATACCCGACCAGACTTGACCAAAAAAATATAATTTTACCTTATATATTTAGGTATAATTACAATAATACCCCTCTATATATTATTTTTTCAATTAAGTCACTATTTTTATTGAATAAAAGTATTTTTTATTATTTTAGGTCGGGTCGGGTTTTTAAGTTATATATCGGGTCGGGTTCGGGTCAGGTGAAATCTTGATTCATGCGGGTTGGGTCGGATCTCAGATCTCGGGTGGAGGAGTCATTGTTCTCGGGTCTGGTCGGGTGGACCAAAAATCCGACCCAACCCGACTCATGCCCATCCGTAGTCTTTTGTCTAGCTAAGTTAAGGCTTATCATCTCATACTTCACAATAGAACTATTAAAACAAACTTTCACAAAAGTTACTATACCAAAAAAGAATACATATACACTAAAAGAAGTTTATTCAATACTTAAGATTTTTTTCCGATAGTTAATATTGGGTGTGGGTATATTATGGATGCCAAGTCAAGTATAAAAACTCCAAAAAATATTTAGCATTCAAACATTATTTTATTCATTATTTATAAATTTTATGTTAAGAGAATTATTTCAAGAATCATCTCA